CGATCCATCTACTGTGCATCCCCACCGCTTACCTCTCAGCGCAGGCCACTCTCGTGCCTTTCCTGGACTTTTGCAGTGTCCTAACTGGTCTGCCCATAAGTACCCGGGCCGCTTTTTTGCTGACCCAGGCCCAGAGAAATCTTTTCAAAATGCAGATCCGATCGGGACACTCGGGCTTAAAACTGGCCGGCTTCCGACCCCTTGCAGGGTCAGCCCCAGATCCTCCCCCAACCTCTCCCGAGTCTCAGTCTACCAGTCCCGCTTGCTCAGTGCTCTGCTCACACTGGCCTTTTTCTCTTCCTTCTACATCCCACGCTCTGGCCTTCCTCAGGGCCTTTCACTTGGTCTTTCTTCACCCTGGGCTTAGTCTAGTAAAATCCTTTCATCCTTCAGATCTCAGCTCAAGTATCACTTCCTCAGGGGAGGCATTCCTGGTCCCTGACTCTGACCAAGTCATTTCCCCACTTCAGCACTCTGTGTGCTCCTCCTTCACGACACTTGCACAACCGCAGTTTTATATTTATTTAAGAAAGTATTAATGTCTGTCTATCCCAGCAGATAGTAAGGTCCGCAAGGGAGAAGATAGTGTCTGGTTTTGTTCCTTGTTGTTATCTCCAGCATCTCACACAGGACCAGGCACTATAAATATTTACTAAACAAATGAATGGAGCGTTGGGATTTGGCAAGAGGAAGGAGGTGTGAATTGTGGTCACTGATGTCCTACCCATGGGGGAAGGAAATCAATATTTGGAATACTTTTTTGTGCTAGACTGTAGACTAGAGTGATGCTGTTCAATAGAAATATAATGCTAGTCATATAATTTAAAATTTTCTAGTAGGCATATTAAAAAATAAAAAGAAACAGGTGAAATTAGTTTTATTAATTATTTAACTCATTCTAACATTCTAATATTGCAGCATGTAATCAATATAAAAACCTTTTTAATGGGATATATTACATTCTTTTTTTGGTACTAAGTTTTTAAAATCTGGTGTGTACCTTGCACTTAAGACGGCCTGTCTCACCTCACAGTAGTCACTTTTCAAGTGCTCAATAGTCACATATGGCTGGGGACTGCAGTATTGGGCTGTGCAGTGCTAGACACTTGTATATATTTGATGTCGTTTAATTTTCTCTAGAGTCATTTGCAGTAACTATTGTTACCTGCGTTTTACTGATAAAAACAATGAAGCTCCTAAAAGTTACATTATCTGCCAGGGATTGTTCTAGAGTTTGTGAATGAAGGAAGTGGGATTAGGATCTCCATCTGTTAATCTTGATTCTGGTCTTTCTGTATACCCTATGCTACCCTTAGGAGGTGCCAAGGAAGTTTGGGGATGCAAGAAGTGGGGACCAAACTTCTTATAAAAACAATGGCACCAGCATATTCTAGTTTGTTCTGTGCCGAGATAATATGTCTGGATGTATCCGTATGCTGCTGGGGTGGGTCAGGAACAAGCATATTTGATGCAGTTAAAGAAAAATATGCAAGGCAACTCCCCTTTTGACCTAGTCACCATACCTCAGCCCAGCCTGCACTAACTCAGCCTGGTAGAAAAACTTACACACACAGCAGCATCTCAAAGGTGCTGGGACTACTAGGCTTGAGCTTACAGTCTGGCTGTTCATCTCAGCAATTGCTCACTGTGTATCTACCATGAAACCAGCACTGTTCTAGGCCACATGTGGTGACTGGGGAGTATAAGGCACAGCTTTCATCTTTAGGATGCTTTGAGTGTACTTGGAAAGACAAGACTGGATCACATAAAATGACTAGATGATGCGCAAGAAAGCATGTGGTGTGATGAAGAACCAGAACCAGTGCTGTGCAAAGTGGCTGTCTTGGCCAAGCTGCGTGATGTGTTTAAAAAGTTGCATTTGAATTCTTCTAGGCAGGGTGGTACTTTGCAGTTTGCCCTGTCTCTACGTGGAGGCTGCTTGGTTTATTTACTTACCTGCCTGGCTTAAGGCATTTGAATTTATAACCCCATTAGGCAGGCTGGTTTAATTTGAGTCACTAGAAAAGATTTGTTGAGCACCTGTTATGTGCCAGGCATTGTACTGGCTGCTGCTCTGGAACTGACTAAAACTCTCCAAAGTTCTTCCACCAGGAAATAGTAATATTAATAATAGAACAATAGCTGGGGCCGGCCCGTGGCTCACTCGGGAGAGTGCGGTGCTGATAACACCAAGGCCCCGGGTTCGGATCCCATATAGGGATGGCCGGTTCGCTCACTGGCTGAGCGTGGTGCTGACAACACCAAGTCAAGGGTTAAGATCCCCTTACCGGTCATCTTTTAAAAAAAAATAAATAAATAAATAAAAATAATAATAGAACAATAGCAACAAACACTTTGCCTTTTATATTGATTTTCCCCCTTGATTGCCTTCACATGTGATCTCTCATTTTGTCAACAATATACCACAGCCTGGCAGGTAGGGCTTTTTTATGCTGGGAAACATGGTTACAGTATTTTTGCAATTTCTTCAAGTTCACACAGTTAAAATTCTGCTTACTCTGTGCCAGGTATTATGCTTAATGCTTTACATATATTATCCCACTTAATGTTCACAACAACTTTACAGGGCAGGGTTGGTTGTATCTCCATTTTACAGATAAAGAAATTGTTAAAGCTGAGATCCAAACCCAGGTCTGTCCCACTCCAGAACAAACGTTCCTAATTGTTAAGTTACACTGCCTCACTAGAAAGTCAAGGTTGGAAGAAACCTCAAAAACATCTAGTCCAAACCCCTCATGTAGATCAGGACTTGAGGCCCACAGATGCTTGTACTGTGGCCGAGCTGTGCTGCAGAGGGTGGACTAAACCAGAAGGGGGGCCTAGGCCTTCTTTTGTCCCTAACTGGTAATGTGGCCTTGCCAGCTTCTCTGGACCTCAGTTCCCTTATTTATAAAATGAAAGGGCTTGGCCTGATTTTACAGTGAGAACAATGCTATGTTATGTTCGGTATTGAAAGAGTCGGGCCCACAGGCCAAGATTTCAGTCATAACCCAGGACTCTTCTTAGCACCCTATACTCCCTCCCTAGCCAGGCTCCATCTCCCTGTACAACCATGGTAGTCTGTTGATGGGAAACAGTTTCCTAAAGTTCATCTATATTTTCTGTCTTAGTTTCTGTTTCCTCTCATTTCCCAAAACTGAAGCAAGTATTTTGTAAACACTGACCCCTTCTAAAGCCATCTCGTCATTATTGTAGTTAGGGATCTGGAAAGTTCTAGACAATAGATAATCCTCTATTAGTAGTGTTTGTCTTCTCTTTTAAAAGCACTTAGGTCTGCGGTACCCTGGAGGGTATTTATGATGTGGAATTCTATAGATACAGCTGTGTGCTGAGCACTGCTGCAAACTGGCAGGGGGAGTAGACAAAGGCTTTATGAGTCCTTGCCCTCAGTTTGCTAATCATCCTGGAGCTGTGGGTCTCAACCTTAGCTGCCCTGGCTGCCCATTAAAATCATCCAGGGGAACTTTTAAGTGACCTGAGGCAGGCATT